CCCCCCCCCTCCTCCTCTTTTGGCTGGCAATGCCGGCCATTGGGGTCTGGTAGTCCTGAGCCTCCAAAGAACCTGGAATGCTATGTTGCATTTTGGTTTATTTTCGATGTTGCCTGGGAATCGTAGTGGTGGTTTTAAGAAAGCCAAGGAGATAGGAGTTATCCTTTTCATTAAATTTTGTTTAGAATTGCAACGGTTTTCACCTTTGCAGTAACAGGTGCAGATCCCAGCGCTCGATCCCTAGACCTCGCCCGGACCCGTGTACAATACCAGTTCACCCTTGTGTGTTTGAACCCACGATCTGTGTCTTGATAGTCGCCTGTTACGATCCTGGTCATTTCCCAAGTGCAAATTCACAGTGAAAGACAATGCCACCCAATTGCGAAAGAAATGAAAGCACTTGCAAAGAGATAAAGACCAGAGGAGAGGTAAAGAAGAAGAAGAAGAAGAAGAAGAAGAAGTACACCAGCAAGACCAATGACAATTCCCCCTTCTCTCTCCACCTTCCTCCTTCCTCCTTCTCTTCACCAATCTTATTCTTCTCTCAATAATAATAATAACAATGAATGGATGAACCAGAATCAATGTCCGAAGTTCCCTCTTACTGCTGACTCAACTCACAACAACAACAACAACAACAACAACAACAACAACAACAACAACAACAACAACAACAACAACAACAAGTCCACCATGGCTATGTCTTCCCTCCTTCAACCACTTCTCTCAAGCATAGGCCATGGAGGACTACTGAAAGGCAGCTATGATGCTGCCCTGATGCCCGAAAGACAACTCAAAGCAGCTATGTCGCTGCTTGACTTGGTCCGCTATGCCTGACTCTGCCTCGAGCTGCCCTGGTGCAGCGTTACCCCAACTGGGGCCTTCCAGATGCAGCGCCCAACAAGGTAATGAAGACGGTGTCCACCATAGCCAGGTAAGTGCCCTACCACTCTCCTACCATGTCCCCCTTCTTCCTCCTTCAAGCTGGGGTGCTCGCCATAGCCAGGCCGAGCCCCAGCAGACCTTCACCTCCAAGCAGCGCTGCCTCAGACCAGCGCTGCGCTCCAGCAGCATGTCGCCAATCCTTGCATACCGCTAATGAGGAAGAGCCTTCCGCTCTTCCTGAAGATATAGTGGCCTACCGGCCTCCTGGGCGGTGACTTTCCAGGCCAAGCGGCCTCCCAGGCAACCGGTACCTCCTCCCTTTTGGAGGGAAACATCATTGCAGGCTCTGTTATTGTCCGCACAGGCCCTAGACCCGGGCTACTTGGACTGGTACCGGCCTACCCCCAACCTACCGCTACTGGACCTCTAAAAATGCCAACTTTTTGTCTTCTTCTGCTCGGCCTACCTGCTACTTGAGTGTTTTCCCCAGCTGCTCTAAGTGCCGTGGGCCTATCTCCCGCTACCGGCGTGTTTTACCCCCCTGCAACCCTCCATAGTCACGGCCACAGGTAAGTACCGGCCCGGTGGGCCTTGCAACCAACAAGTACCCTTGCGGGTCAAACACACACATACCCCACCGGCAAGCATTCAGACAGGCATGCACGCACACACACACAACCAGCAAGCACTCAGACAGGCATGCAACCAGCAGGCACGCACACACACAGACTTGGAACCACAGCAGAATGCGGGAATCACAACAAGGCATCCATTCCAGTGACAAATCCCAGAAATCGGCAGTGTTCTCAGTCTGTGTTTTTGGCGGGTCATTACATCGCCTGCTATCTGTTGTAGCCTAGTGTGGTCGTCGGGTCTTGATCCATAGGTCTGTTGAGTAGGAGTCCTAACTGAGTAGGAGCCGTAGCTGCTACAGTCCTGAAATGTCAAAGTCGTAGCTGCTACAGTCCCGAAAGGTCAAGTTCACAGACTTCCGGAAGGTCCGGAAGCGACCTTTCGTAGGGTCCTAGAGTCAGCCTAGAGGCAAGTGGGCAAGTAGGCAGTCCAACCTCGCTTAGTCAGCCGTAACCAGTCCCAGTCGCACTTTGTCCAGTCAGCAAGTACCATGTGGGACTGTGTGCACCCTGGGCCCGGTGGAAAGGGGCAGACCAGTGACCATCCGAAGTATAAATCAGGAGGCAGCGTCCAGTCATGCATTGATTCTTCCTGTGAGCCGTGCGGAAGCGCTACCTGAGCGTCTTGTGCGAGGCGGTCTGCAGGTGGCCGTAGGAGAAGTGGGCAAAGAGGAAGGAGGCGGCCATAGACGCTGGTAGTGTTAGTGTTAGGAGAGAGACGGCGGCCATAGCCACCACATCAGCAAGGTTAGAGTGTTAGTGTGTGTGTGTGTGTGTGTGTTTGAGTGTGTTGGGTTTCTGTGTGCGGGACATCCAGGGAGACCCAGGGTGTGTGTACGGACAAGTTGCTGTGAGTGCAGCGTTCGGCCATTGCCGAACGAGACAAGTTTGAATCTGAACTGTGTTCGTGGCTTCGTTATCTCTGAGCTTTGTGTGGGTGCGAGTCGCTGGCTTGATCGTCATCTGTTCCTATGCATGCTGAGAGTCGAAGTCGAGAAGTCTGATTGCAGAATATTTTCCTAGTTTTTTTATTTTTTATTTTTATTTTTGTTTTATTTTTTGTGGGTGTTTTTAAGAGGTGGAAGCCCTTCAAATTCTCCAGTTAGAAGAACTCGGACCCCCTTAGCCTGCGAACAATAGTTCAATAAATTTGTAAATGGGTACCATACCAGTTGGCGGCGAGGCTTGTCATTATTGGTTTTCGGTACTTCGTAGGTTGTGTGCCAACCAACAGAATCATCATGCCAAACATTCCTCCTCTTTTTGATTTTGTTTTTGTTGATAGACTTTTAGGCTTTAGCTCCAATCTATTTGTGGGGATCCCAGACCTTGCTGAGAAACCACCAGTACACCTGGGCTTGGTGGCACCGCACTTCGCGCCACGCTTCGCCGAACCACAGGCTTAAAATCTTGTTTGGCTGGTGCGGCCAGGCATTGTGGTCCGGCAGCCATGAGCCTCCAAAATTTTTGCAGGCGATGAAAAAGAAATCCTACAAGGGTGGGCCGTGTACTGGCAGTTTAAGCTTTAGCTTGTTGAGCCCTGGTGCGCAGCAAATTTCGTCCAGGAAAATAGGCTCAGGACTCAGGAGTGAGGTGTGTGCTTGCTTGCAGGTTTGCCAATCGGCCGACACTGGCTCGTGTGGTTTTCTGTCCTCTGCGTCGTCCTCTGGCATCAACGAGGAGGCAGTCTCTTCCGGAAGCATCGCCATTCTCGGAGGTACTGTCGTGAATGCGGACGGCCAGCATGCTGCCAACGTGTACATCAAGGATGGGATTATCACAGCAGTTGGGCCTGATGTTGTGGTGAGTTTTAGTGAATGAGACATAGCAAGAAGAAGTGCCTGTGTTGTGGACGAATGGCACATACATCCATGCAGCTCTTGATGGATAGATCATGAGTTCAAATCTTGATGATACATAGCAAGCAATACCTGTGTGTTGAGTTGATGAAACAGTACATACATGCAGCCCTTGATGGATAGATCATGAGTTCGAATCTTGATCTGATTCTTTCGTAAGGTACCAAAGAATGGTAAATTGCAGTAAGTACCCGTGTTGTGGATGAATAGTACATTAGATGCAGCTGAGCAGCTCTCGATAAATAGATCATGAGAGTTCAAATCTTCTCTGATGCAGTCAGATGAATATGCAATAATCTTAGGGGCTGCTGCACTTTTTGAAAAAAGTAAAAAGCAATGGAAACAATGGGTCAACAAAAACAACATGCTCCTCGCAAATAGCGCCAGTCCTTTCTGTGAGAGAGCATGAGTGAGTAACTCCCACTCACCCTCTGCATATCTCTGGATAGATCGCGGCTTTCAGGGATGCTTCTGTGGGTACCGTGTTCCCCTGAACACAGTGCACCCTTAGAATGAATGTGTACAAGCTAGTTTTCCGGTCCAATATGGTCATAATGCGGGTGCTTTGTGTTCGAGGGAAGAGGGTATGGGAGATCTGTGGATCTTTTGGCTTCTTAACACTGGGCTGATGGCTGATTAACCAAGAATTGAACACTCTTAATCTTGTCACTCGTAATTTTGCTGGGACTGTGTGGGACCGCCTGGCACTGGAAGAGCTTGTGAAACATGTCATTTTTTAACCAGTTTATACTGAACGAGGGCATGGTGAACTGGGTTAAGCTGCACCGGGTTACTCTGCATCGGTTTTTTTTTGGAACCAGGGTACTTTTATATCATGGTGCTTTTGAACCAGGTTACTTTGGACCAACCAGGGTTTCAACCAGGTTGGCCGAGGTAATGCTGAACCAGTGTTTGAACCAGGTTGACCTGGTAGCTCTGAACCAGGGTACGCTTGAACCAGGATGCCCTTCAGCAAGGTACTCAGAACCAGGGTTTGAACCAGGTTACTATTGAACCAGGGTAATTTTGAACCAGGTTACTATTACAAGAGTACTTTTCGAACCAGGGTACTTTTGAACCAGGGTACACTGCACCAGGATACTCTTGACCTGGTTTTACTCTGAACCAGGGTTTGAACCAGGTTGGCCAGTGTATTTTGGAGCAGGGCACTCTTGAACCAGGCTACTCTGATCGAGGGTTTCAACCAGGTTGACAGGGGTACTTTTGAACGAGGTTACTCCGGGACCAAGGTACGCTGAACCAGGATTTGAACCAGGTTATGGCCAGATTTAATGAACCCAGGTTGAGTGGAACTAGTATTATTGGAA